GGCAGTTGGGGGCAACCTGGCCAGCAGTGGGGGGCAGTTAGGGGCAACAAGGTCAGCGGGGGGGGGGGGCAGTTAGGGGCAATCAGGCCAGCATACAGAGGCAATGAGGGGCGATCAGGCCAGCAGGGGTGGGGGGCAGTTAGGGGTAACAGCAGGCAGGCAGGTGAGCGATAGGAGCCAGCGGTCCAGGATTGTGAGAGGGATGTCTGACTGCTGGTTTAGGCCCGGACCCCGAGATCTGGCCTAAACTGGCAGTTGGACATCCCCCAAGAAGTCCCTGATTGGAGGTGGTGCAGGCTGGGCTGAGGGGGCCCCACCTGTGCACAAATTTCATGCACTGGGCCTCTAGTAAATGTATAGAAAGATATACCATGCTAACGTAATCAAAAGAAAGCTGAAACAGTTATCTTAATTTCAGACAACACAGACTTCAGAGCAAGTAAAGTTACCAGGGAAAATAGGGGCATTACATAATGATAAGGGGGTCAATTCTGCAGAAACACAGAACAATACTTTGGGTACAGTGATCATTTTTTATTTTACTTCATGTTTTTATTGAGAGAGAGGAAGGAAGATAAAGAAACATCGGTGAGAGAGAAACATCCATCATCGGTTGCCTCCTACAAGTCTCCTATTGGGGATAGAGCTTGCAACCCAGGCATGTGCCCTGACTAGGAATTTAGCTGTGACTTCCTGGTTCATAGGTCAATGCTCAACCACTGAGCGGCACCAGCCAGGCACTGATCACTTTTTTGATATGTCAAAGGCATGATCTGTGATAAGCTGGAATTCATTAAAATTAAAACCTTCTAGTCCTCGCTGGTTTGGCTCAATGGATGGAGCGTCGGCCTGCAGACTGAGGGGTCCAAGGTTTGATTCCAGTCAAGGGCACATGCTTAGGTTACAGGCTTGGTCCCCAGTAGGGGGTATGCAGGAGGTAGCTGATCAGTGATTCCCTCTCCCTTCCTATCTGAAATCAATAAAAATATATTTTAAAAAAAATTTAAAACCTTCTACTCTATGAGAGATAATATCGGGAGAATGAGAAGGCACTGATTAGAAAGAGAAAAAATATTTGGAAAAGACACATCTGATAAAGGACTGTTCTCCAAAACATAGTCTATGAATCAGAAAACAAGACCCATATATATGCTGTCATAAAAGGTCCCCCTCAGAACCTAAGACACACACAGACTAAAGGTAAAGAGATGATACAACTAATCGCTTCTCGGCCTTTTGGCTAAGATCAAGTGTAGAGATGATACAACTAATAAGGGGTTAATTTATAACTCAACAGCAAAAAAATAAACCACCCAATTAAAAAATGGGCACACAATCTGAATAGATATTCTCCAAAGAGGACATACTGATGGTTAATATAAAAAGATGCTCAGTGTCACTCATCATGAAGTGTAAATTAAAACCACAATGAGATATCACCTGTGAGAATGACTAGCATCAATAAACCTACAAATGATAGGTGTTGGCGAGCATGTGGAGAAAAGGGAACCCTCGAGGTCACCCTTAGTGGGAATGCAGATTGTTACAACCACTATAAAAACAGTATGGAGTTTCCTCAAAAAATTAAAAATGGAACTGCCTTATGACCCACTGATTCCACTTCTGAGTATTTATCCAAAGAACCCAAAACACAAATTCAAAAGAGCATATGCAACACTATGTTCATTATAGAATTATTTACAATAACCAAGATATGGAGGCAATCCAAATACCCATCAATAGACGAATAGAAAATAAAGCTGTGGTACATATATAAAATGGAATATTACTTGGCCATAGAAAAGAAGGAATGAATATGATAGCATGGATGAACACAGAAGTATTATGCTAAGAGAAAGACAAAAATCATATATCATTCATATGTGGAATCTAAATAATAAAATAAAAAACAAAATAGAAACAGTCTTATAGATACAGAAAACATGTTGATGAATGCTAGAGGAAAGGAGTATCGTGGGGCAGGGTGAAAAAAGGTGAAGGCATTAAATAGTACTAATTGATAGTTACAATATAGGCACGGAAATGTTAGGTAACAAATAGGGAATATAGTCAACAATATTGTAATAACTATATAAGATGGTAGGTGGGCACTTGAATTATCAGAGGAAACACTGTGTAACCTAAATGGCTAGTTATCCATTGTGCTATACACCTGAATACAAAAATAGTGTTAAATACATATTATAATTTTAAAAAATTTTTAAAATTAAACACAGAAAAAATCATATAAAAAAATTCTAAAAACAAAACAAGAAGACAAACAACCCAATTAATAAATGGGGAGTCCTGGCTGGGTGACTTAGTTGGTTGGAGTGTTGTCCTGTACACCAAAAAGGTTGCAGGTTCAATTCCTGATCAGGGCACATAACTAGGTCCATCCCCATTCAGGGCACATATGGGAGACAACAGATCTCTCTCTCTCTCTCTGTCTCTCTCTCTCTCTCCCTCCCTCCCTCCCCCTCCCCCTCTCCCCTTCTCCCCCTTTCCCCTTCCCCCTCCCTCTCCTCCTCTCTAAAACATATCCTCAGGTGAAGATTTTAAAAGAAGGAGGGGGAAGGGCCTGGACATGTCACCAAAGTAAGCATGCAGGTAGCAAATAAGCATATGGAAAGATTCATAACAGTGTATGCCATTAGGATACTGCATAGTTAAATAATAATGAGATACAACTACATATCAATTAGAATGGCCAAAATCCAAAACACTACACCACCAAATGTTGATGAGGATGTGAAGCAACAGAAACTCTGCCATTTCTGCTGGAAATGCAAAATGATACAGCGACTTTGGAAAGCAGTTTCAATTTCTTAAACAACTAAAACTACTCCTGCCATAGTATCCAAAAATTGTGCTCCTTGGTATTTACCCAAAGGAGTTAAAAACATGTCCACACAAAAGCCCACACATGAATGTTTACAGCATCTTTATTCATACTTGCCAAAACTTAGAAATAATCAAGATGCCCTTAAATGAATGGACAAATACACTGTGGTACATGCAGAAATGAAATGTTATTCAAATCTAAAGAGAAATGAGCTATCAAACCAGGAAAAGACATGAAGGAACCCTAAATGCATATCAATAAATGAAAGAAGCCAATTTGAAAAGGATATATATATTATATGATTGCAACTACATGACATTTTGTAAAAGGGAAAACTGTAAAGACAGTAAAAGGATTAGTGGTGTCCAAGAGTTAGGATGAGGGAGGCATGAATAGGCAGAGCACAGATAATTTTTAGAACAAATTTTCAGTATCAAATCATTTTGTATAATACAAAAGTGATGGCTACATGCCATTATATTATTTATCAAAACCCAGAGTGTAAAACACCAAGAGTGAACCCTAATGCAAACTGTGGACTGTGGGTAATAATGATGTGTTAATCATAGATGATAACCAATGTCCCACTTTGGTGCTAGATGTCTTCAGTGGTCAAGGCTGCATTTGTACAGGAGCAGGGCCCATATGGGAAATCTCTGAGCTCAATTTTGCTGTGAACCTAACTCTGCTCTAATAAATAAAGTGCTTTTTTTAAAAAAATGAGAAATCTTATGTAGATGAAACTGTTCTGTTAACTTGACTATATCAATGGCAAAAGCATGATTGCGATATTGGTACTAGTTCTACTATTGGGAGAAACTGGGTAAAGGATAAAAGCGATCTATTATTTCTTATAAGTGAATCTACAATTATCTCAAATAAAAAGTTAATTTTAAAAAAATACATACACTTAGATAACTTAAAACTAAAGTATTAGAAACTCATCAACAGATGTTAAATAAATGAATGTCAGAGTGGCAAAAACACTTTTTCACTAGAAAAGTAGATGCAGGCTCATAGTACTCTCTATAATAGCACACAGAGTGGGATACTGAATGTATATTTGAAGACAACAAAACTAAACAATAAATTATATGAAGGAAAATAAGAGTCATATTTGGAAGATACAGTTTCATTCAACTCTGTAAGTCTAACCTTTCGTTGCTGAAAGCAAGCATTCAGCTACGCGTTTTCATTAACTGTTATACAAATAGCAAAATCAAACATATTGTAAAAAGCAGACAGTGACATTTACAGATCTGGTCATTTATAAACCTTTGTTTGATAAGACACATAGTTAAGACCAATAAATTAAAAGTTATATTGTGTGTGTGTGTGTGTGTGTGTGTACACTGGCATAAACACTCCTGTACTTACTCATGTGCCGCACAGTGGCAAAATATCTAGGATACAACCTCAGAAAAAAATATTTTTCCTTAACCATCACATTATTTAATTATCACACAACTCAATCACTGATGGTTAATGCTACTTAATCATCAATACTGCACTGAGTGGTATAGCTGTATGCTTCTTCAATTCCACAGAACCAAGATTGAACTACTTGAGCACAAATCTGTTCTCCTTTTTTAACTAAATGAAAGCTATAACAACATTTATTTATAGTAACTGGGAGGGGGGGGGAGGAGGAATTTACAAACCTACTACAGTTTGCACTAATGATTATATATACCTGTATTAATTTGAACTAAATGACCTTTACATGAGTAGGTAACACACCATTCATTTTATAAGATGCTGGAAAAAATTTCTTCTTTGATTAGGTTATACTAATATTTATCATCCCATTTAGCTAGTGCGTATTTACTAGCATAAGCACAAGAAATCATTAGCTTCTATTAGCTTCAGTAGAATATAAAAAATTATAAATTAAATAATGGGTGAATGACAGTTGATTTTAACTCCTTATTTATACAATTCTGAAATTCAAAACAAAACATTACATATTGAGCCACATCTATGACTTTGAGAAATAAGACATATGAAAGGAGAAAGAAGAGAAAGTAGTAAATGAGGCCAGGGAAGCAAGAAGTCCTGAAATATAAACAAAATACATGCAAAAAAGTGAAAGAACAAGATCAAGAAAAATAATACCAGAGTAGTAGTTGAAAATAGGTTCCTATTAATAAATTACCAGTGTTCCAGCTTCTAGTTGCCGTAGAGACCAATATATAAATTTTACAAAAGGCTCATGAAGTTTGGCATTCACAAATGGCATCCACTGTAGTTGCTCTGTCATCACAGGCAAAAGCTAAAATTATGGAAAATATAAAAGAACAGTATTTTTTAGATATCTGAAACCAATTACCATAATATTCCAAAATTTATTTTTCCAAAAAAAAGCAATCTCTAACAAAAATTACTTTAACCCTTTGAGTGCCAACCAATATCCTAGGAACTATGCTAAAATTGTCAAGGCATTTTGAGTTAAGGTTTTTAAATTTTTTCCCACATAAAGAGTGAACTACTAGCATCTAATAGTGACACTGGAGGAGGAGCACGGGGCACTTTTGGCGAAAGACGGGAAGCACGCGATCGCACTCCCCGGCACTCTAAGGGTTAAAACGACATGCAATACAATATGGAGATGTGTATTTGAAATTTTAAATATAGTCATGTGCCACATAAAGATGTTTCAGTCAATGACAGATCTCATATACAATGGTCCCATGAGATTACCATCAACAGAGCTACAAAACCCCTATCACCTAGTGACTTTGTAGCCATCATGAGGTTATAGCGCAAAGATTGCTGTGATTGAGATGGCAAACAACTTGAACCTGGTGTGGATGAGGATGAACTTGAGGAGTTTGTAGAGGGGGTTCCTGAAGAAGTGACTAAAGAGGAGTTGTTGGAACTGGAACAGAAATATACAGCAGAAGGGCAAGAGAAAAGGAAACTGCTGAAGAAAAATAAGAACCTCCAGGAAAACTCAGTGAAGGATTTTTATTAATATACTAGTAGAGGAACGTTAATCTGCTTACAAGAAAATCTATGCTAAAAAAAAAAGAAGCAAACCACCCTGGACATATTTCTGAAAAGAGTGGCACCTCCTCAAGAAGAGCTCCAGGTAGGTCCTTCAGGAGATATGTCAGAAGGAGGCTTTCATCATAGAAGACAGCTCCATGTGTGCTACTGACCTGAAGGCCTTCAGTAGGACAAGATGTGGCGGTGGGAGGCAGTGACATTGATGATCCTGACCCTGTGCAGGCTGAGGCTAATGTGTGTTTCTTAGTTTTAAACAAAATAGTTTTAAAAGAAAAAATAGAGAAAAAGCTTTTATATTTTGTGCAGCTGTACAGTGTGTGTTTTAAGCTAAGTGTTAACAGAAAAGAGTTAAATAGTTTAAAAATTTTTTTAAAGTTTATAAAAAGTAAAAATGTTACAGTAAACTAAGGTTAATTTATTATTGAAGGAAATATTTGTATAAATTTAGAGTGGTCTAAGTGTACAGTGGTTATAAAGTCTACTGCAGTGCACAGTATGTTGTAGGCCAATGGTCAGCAAACTGCGGCTCGCGAGCTACATGCAGCTCTTTGGCCCCTTGAGTGTGGTTCTTCCACAAAATATTGACTTCTGCACATGGGCCACGAAGTTTCAATCGCACTGTATGTGCGCACCCACACGTGGTATTTTGTGGAAGAGCCACACTCAAGGGGCCAAAGAGCCGCATGTGGCTCACGAGCTGCATGTGGCTCGCAAGCCACAGTTTGCCGACCACTATTCTAGGCCATCACACTCATTCACCACTCACTGACACACAGAGCAACTGCCAGTCCTGCAAGCTCCATTCATGGCAAGTGCCCTATATGGCTGTACCATTTTTAAACCTTTTATACCATACTTTTTCTATGTTTACATACACAAATACTTACAATTGTGTTACCAGGGCCTACAGTATTCAGTATAGTAATATGTTGTACAAGTTTGCTGTCTAGAAGTAGTATCCTATACCACTTAGCCTATGTGTGTAGTATTCTATACCTCTAGGTTTCTATAAGTATATCCCATGATATTTGCATGACGAAATTGCCTACAATGCATTGATTCAGCATTATTAGCACATCTAGGATTCTTAAAAATATATATTTTTATTGATTTCAGAGAGGAGGAGAGAGGGAGAGAGAGAGAGATACATCAATGATGAGAGAGAATCATTGATTGGCTGCTTCCTGCACACCCACGACTGGGGTCTAGCCTGCAACCCTGGTGTGTGCCCTGATCGAGAATCAAACCTGGGACCCTTCAGTCCACAAGCCAACACTCTTATCCACTGAGCCAAACCAGCTAGGGCTAGCACATCTAGTATTTTAAGGAGATAAATCTAGACAAACATATACTCTGAACCTTAAATGGTTAAATAAATTTATGGTACATATATAAACATTAGAAATGATAATAGCATCTATAATTATTGTGATGGCCTATTTTGGGGTGATAAAAATAGGTTACAAAAGATCAAATGTAATAAGATCCCATTTATCTATCCTATATAATAAAAGATGTAATATGCAAATGGTTGTTACGCAGTGAAGCGTAATGACCGGATCTCATATCAGCAGGAGGATGGGGGAGCGAGCTACAAGTGGGCAGCAGAGAGCTACAGGAGGGGGCAGGGAAGCAAGGTATGAGGGGGAGCAAGGGGGGGCGGGGGAGCTACAGGAGGGCAGGGCAGCAGGCGGAGAGCTACTGGAGGGCAGCAGCGAGCTACTGGTGAGCTACTTGCGCACAGATTCATGCGCAGGGCTACTAGAATATATATAAAAGCCTAATATGCTAAGTGTTCAACCGAGTGGTTGACCGACTGGTCACTATGACATGCACTGACCACCAGGGGGCAGATGCTCCGACCGGTAGGTTAGCTTGCTGCTGGGGTCCAGCCAATTGGGACTGAGCAAGAATGCATTAGCAAAGAGATCAAGGAAGAAATAAGAAACTTCCTGGAAACAAGCAAAAATGAACACACAAAAATAAAATCTATGGAACACAGCAAAAGCAGTCCTAAGAGGGAACTCCATAGCATTAGAGGGGTGCAGTCCTCAAGAAACGACTGTAATAAACTAATACCAGAACTAAAAGAATTAGAAAGAGAACAACAAGAAAAACCCAGAGTAAAAAGGAGGAAGGAAATAATTAAGATACGAGCAGAAAAGACATAAAGACTAAAATAAAATATAAAAGATCAATGAATCCAAGAGCTGGTTCTTTGAAAAGATAAACAAATATGACGAACCTTTAGCCAGACTAATCAAGAAACAAAGAGAGGACCTTCCCAGTGTGGATCAGTAGTAGAGTAATGGCTTGTGCATCTAAAGGTTGCAGGTTAGATTCTTGCTCCAGGGCACATACCTCGGCTGCAGGTTGATGCCAGGCCCGAATGGGGTGCTTTAGGGAGGCAACCAGTCAATGTGTCTCTCTCACATCGATGTTTCTCTCTCTCTCTCTCTCTCTCTCTCTCTCTCTCTCTCTCTATATATATATATATATATATATATGTATAAATCAATGGAAAAAGATTAAAAATGGCAGCGTAGTAGATGGATGCTACACAGACAAACTCCAGGCACCAAACTAGAATTACAAGTACAAAAAAAAATATCCTGAATAATCAACTGAAGACTAGCTGGAGAGAACCCTGATAACCAAGAACAGAATATGGAGACTTCAGAGAGACTGATAGGAAGGGTGGAGAAGCAAAAGAGCTGCCCTGGCTCCCACAGACAGCAGCTGAAGTTCCAGAGAGATATTTCAGCTCTGGGGGGTTGCCACTGAGAACTCTGGGGTCTAATCCCCAAGCTGGGCAACCCAGTAGAGGGCACAAACACTGAGAAAGGTGCCCACATCTCATCTGGCTGTGAAAAGCAGCAGGGTTGCTGTCTGCCAGGGAGAGACCACTGGAAATGCAGACACCCGCTTAAAGAGCCAACACACAAAATTTACTGTGCAGCCACCCACCTTGGGCTCCAGCAGAGGGAGAGAAGAGTGGACTAGAGCTGTGTGAGCAAAAGCCAGTGTTGGGGACTCTGGGGTTAGAGCTTAGAAGGCAGAAAAACCGGTTTCCTGTGCTGAGTCATTCCCTCATGCTACGAAGGTCATCTCTCAGGCAGACCTTTGCTATCCAGGTAGATTTTGCTTGGGTGGAAGACAGTTGACCAACTCCAAAGGAAAACCCCTTGCTCACCATGTGTTGCTTCTAAGGACCATTAAGACACTGAGAATAATAGTCTCCAGACAGAAGCAATTGCCCCACTCTGTTGGAAAAACTCTCGCCACACATGTGGGTTATTACCTGAGGGCTACTCAACACTGAATCCAATCAGTCTACAAGGCAGGTCTCCGGAGGCTTTGTGTCTTTGCCTGATCTAATTAGTCAGAAACAGCATTTGACACTGTCCTACACTAGAGATTGGGAGGCGTAGCAGATCTACCTAATACATAGTCACAAACCCAAATAGATCACTTCACAAAAAATTATTAAAGCTCCAAATATCTACAAAGGAAAACAGTTCATGGGGAAGAGGACAAGCTAATATCCCTATCATTGAGAACCTTCCAGGTACATACAAAGAGGGGAAAAGACAAATGAACATGTAGAAATGTTTTGTAGGGCCTAATTCTCAATAAGAAAATAACCTTGATTTTTAATAAACCGTTTATATGTTATCATGAAACATTTAGAAGTGGAGCTATTAAAGGCAAGCCAAGACAGGGATGCCCCTCCTAACACCTCTATTATTTAAATACCTTGTGCTAGACTTTATAAACCAATAGGAAAGTCCTGTCTCCCATGTATTTTTGTATAAACTTTCAAAAGTGATAACAGAATGAAATGTTTAACATTAAAAAGCAGACACCATGTTTATTAATTCTAAATAATGTAACTGCTAAACTAGAAAACACAAAAAATGACTTAAAAACTATTAGAATGATTTCAGTAAACTGTTCAGTTGCTAAAAATATAAAAAGCAAGATCACATTGCAAATACCATCAATATCCAATTTACACTAATAAAAGAGAAACATGCAAATTGTGTCATTCCGCTACACCTACCGGCCAATCAGGACAAGTATGCAAATTAACCCAACAAAGATGGCAGTTAATTTGCATATGCAGGTGCGGAGCGAAGACTGAAGACGACCGAAGACTGAAGAGGCTTGGCTTCTCCGCTGCAGCCGGAATGGAGAAGCCAAGCCTCACTGCTGCGGCCAGAGTGGAGAAGCCAAGCCTCACTGCTGCGGCCAGACCAAAGG